CGTGACATTTCATTGCAACATGATGTGCCCTTTGATGCACTTGACAACTAAGTACTAAAAGAAACCTATAATAATCTCACACAGTTTTGATAACAAGGTTTTCCAGCCATCACTGTCAAAGATGTGTAATTTCAAATTCTTTCCAAGAGTTTAGAAAGGATCAAGCAAAAGGACCAAAAGTGGTTAGATTCAAAGAGCAAAGGATATGATATTAAGCTAATGAATGAATCATGGGCAACCTCATCAATTTTGACAGCATCAAACCTGTACCAAGAAGATTTAACCCAAGTTCTTCTTCTTGGCAGACTGGTACAACTCTGTGCAGCTAAATCTCAAGACTACAGTCTTAATGATAGAATAGCTTTTCATTTCATCCTCATGATGCAGCTACCAAAGTAGCTGTGCTAGTCTGTCTCAGCAAGTGGCAAAAAGGAAAATGAAAGAGAAAATGGCTATATATTATAGCACTTCAAAGACTAATGTATTTATTTCAGTGGGAGCTTTTGTACACAATCCAAATTGATTAATATATGCTAGCTTTCAGCCATGCATAGGTCTTTATCACACTGGGAACCACAGAGCTGTGGCTGATGCAGAAGAAAAGAGAAATTCCAAAACTCCAAAACTTAGATCCGGTGGGATTTCACCTCCAGATATATCTCCCCCTAATAACTTTGAGCCAAATAAAAATGTAGTTTGAATGAAATTGTTCCTTACCTCTAGCTCTTACCACCTTTGAGAATAGTACAGTATTTACAAGTTAATATCTACTTTCCTTTCCATCACATTAAAATGAAGGTCTTATCCATTCTCAGTGTGTATGGTCACTCATTACACTGCACAAATTAGCACCCCAAATTTACTTTTTATTTGTACCCAAGTGCAAAAAAATGGGTCCTTAGAGGGCAATTTAAAGTGCACTTTAGTTGGTGTAGTTTCACTCAGGCCATTCAGGAAAAATACATAATCACAGGTGGGCATACTTTGAAATGAAGAAAGGAAGTGAGGAAAGTGAACAAAATGTTTCATTAAACTCACCTTATTTATTTATTTATTTATTTATTTATTTATTTATTCATTCATTCATTCATTCATTCATTCATTCATTCATTCATTCATTCATATTTCTATCCCGCCCTTTTAGACAAAGTCTACTCCGGGCAGGTTCCATCAAACATTGTAAACCAAAACAGTTAAAAACAATTCAAAATAATAATAATTTAATTAGTAATGCTTGCTAGTGCTCAAGATGGGAAAACAGAAATTAGAATAAAAATAAAATCAAATATTGACAGGAGGGAAGGCCTGCCTAAAGAGCCAAGTTTTTAATTTGGTAGTTTGGTGGTTTTACGGTGTTGACCTGGGATCCAAGGCAACCTGCGTAGCATAACCATTAATGCTTGCTCTTAGATGGTATTTACATCCTTCCAAGCTTCATTACAAATATTTTTGTTAGAGATCTGGGGAAGGTACTGGGTACTACTCTATGTGGTAGAATGGTGGTGTGCTAACACATTTTGGACCCGAAGATATACTGAAATAAATAATTATGTTGTATTTAAGTGCATTAAATGATTTATAGGAGAATATTGTTATAATTGTGCTAAGAGCTTTGCTCATTATGAGCCATGAAGCCAAAATTTTAAGTACTATAAATTGCCGTTTTACCTTTAGCATCCTTCCATCACCAGCCGTGTCTTATTCAGCTTTCTTCTTCACAAATCTTAAAGGGTGGTGCATTGAAAAATACATCAGGCCACTTGGCTTTGAAATTTAACAGATGCATTTAAATAGTTGACAAATTGTGTGATGATTGACGTCAGAGATATACTAAGATGTAGGGGGAAAATGGGAAAGTAGGAATTGAGAGTATTGTAGTTGTTTGCAATTTGCTGGTGCTGTGCAGATGTCTTCTGATTTTGTGGGTTATGCTTTATAATCAGAATCAATTTAATATCGCTGATCTAAAATTTCAATTGAACTTTTGAAAGGATGTCTAAATGTTCAAGTATAATCATGGTTGGTATGGGTTGATCTGGGTGTTCTGGTGCCGTGAGGCTATAGAGAGTGCATAGTAGTGGAAAAGGCTGTATGGTACCTATTAGTGGTTCTTTTTTCATGCTGTGGGGCAACATTTGTGTTGTTCTGCATTACAGAAGGTAGAGAAACGTATGTAAAATGCCATGATTACTTACAATTATTTGGTTCATAGAAATTGTGACCATGATGACCGTGAGTTGTGTAAACATAGAGTTTATCTTCCTGCCTTGTAGGAGCATCCAAAGACAAACAGGCAAATAGATAGACAAATCATATAGTTTTGTTCACATTGGAATGAGAGACTGCTCTCAAGTGAGTAGCTTTCATCACATATAAGAGTTTGGATGGGTTATTTTGTCTTGTTTGGAGTGTTCTAGGAACAGCAAGGCATGCCATTATGATTTGCACCTTTCCAGTCATTTGGAGTTCTGTTGACAAAACAATTTACAAGGTAGTTTGTGACAATGTCCATATTTGTCTGAACCCCATTCTTCCAATCTGATATTTTGTGTAACTATAATCCAGCCAATAGGTTTTTCCCAGAGGTGTAATTCATTAGGCGGAATGTGATTGATGGTCTTCACAGAGTAATTCTTATGTACAGTACATATATTATTATACCAGTGATTGCAGTTCAAGGAAAACATTGTTTTCTTTGCCACTTTGAAAAAAGGAAAAAGAAAGAAAGTTGGGTGAGGTTCATTTCCATCACCAGCTCCCAGTTTAAACAAATTCTACAAGCATAAAGAAGTCCTCATGAACAAGAGTATATTTTACCGGCTGGAGCCAATGAATAAGTGAATATTTTTATTCTGCAAGGGATGCAATATATTATTAAGTCAAATGGAAAAAGATAATAGTTTCCTGAAAAAGAAAAAAACACAGGCCAGATACAAAAGAGAATTTACTTTGTTCTTAACATGATGAACCTTTCTTAAATACCGTTCTGAATAAGTACAGAGCTGATAAATATTTCTACTCTACAATGTAGGAAAAAGTACTCGTGAAACTGTATGTGGAAAAGTAAATTTAATTCATAGGAGACCCCTTACACGCCCATATATGCTATACCAAATGTTGTTAGGTGCTGTCAAGTTTCACCTCACTTCAAGTGACCCTAATAAGGTTTTAAAGGTATTTGAGACATTTAAGGAGTGATTTGCTACTTCCTAGTGACTTTCCCTGATTGAGTAGAGATCTCAACAACAGATCCCCTGAGCTCTAGCCCCATCACTCTACCCATTACACTACTCTGCAGTGGCCCTCACACAGGCAAATCCTGCTGTGAGGGGATCTCCACTGGCACCCTGAATGGTCGACCTGAGGCCATAGCTCCTAGGCCCCTAATAGGCAAAGGGGAGAGAGGACAGTACCATTGAGGGATCTGATTGGTGAGGGCCTCCTGCAAGGGAGAAGGGGAGGCTGAGATAAAAGAAGAAGACAGAGAAGACACAGAGGGTTCTTTCAATGAAACAGAGGGAGAGACGGAGACTTTGGAGGAGGAGGAAAGATGGAGAGAGTCTGTCGAGGCTTGGGTTCTCCAGTTCTGTGTTTCAGTTGAGAGCTACTGGGAAGAGGTGTTCTGAGCTGAAGTTCTCATGCCCCACCCACTGGATAGAAGAATGAGGGATCCCAACCAGGAGGACATCCTCACCTCCCACTTTCAGAGACCAAGAATCTCAGGGCACTCTGTGCCTTTAACAAGTGACCCTTTTAAAAGGAGATTCCCTGAAGGGTTAGTGCAGGGAGCTCAGGACAGTGTTCCTGCTTCTGTTGGTTCCTAGGTTGCCATAAATTCTGTTCTTGGTCATTCTCACATCTGGGAGCCCTTCAAAGTATTGCCAGTATATCATCAGCACCAGCCGAGATAGAATCAGTTGCCTCCAAATATGTTAATCTGGAAAGACATCCCTAAATTTGGAAAACACTTCTGTAAGTTTATCCAGAGCAAAAGACTCAGAACAGAATGAAATCCCTGGAGGTAGTATTAACATTGAAGTGTGAAGAATCGAAGAGTTGTTTGTTCTAGTTTTGAACGCCTTCCCCGATATGTACCAACCTATGCCTTGAGATCAGCAAGTGAAGTCCGACTTAATATTCTGCCTATTGCCTCTGTGAGGACCATGAAGGGGAACAAAAGACCTCTTCAGTGTTGACCACCACTCTCTGATGCCCCCTGTCAATGATGGTGTAACTGACCTTCGTTCTCTGGGGTTTTTACCATCATTAAATTGCTCCCATGATCTTGACCGATGTTCACATTGGCCTGTGTTGGTTGAGGGCATGCTGCTATGAAACAGCTTTGCAGTATCTTCATTTTTGTCTTATCTGGCATTGTTTTAAATCACTGTCAATTTCCTTTCGCTCATTCCTTTGGGGAACGTGACACAAACATTTTATGTACAATTTTTGAATTCGGAAACCTTTATCCTGCTAACCTGGCATTTCCACAAGCAGACAAACCAACCCCAAACCTGTCCTGAAATGATTCCAGCTGTAGACATGAATGATGCCATTCCATGTCTGGGAATATTTCTTTTTTTAAAAAAAGTTGATGTAGGTCAACCATTCCCCATACTACCACACTAGAGAAAGATACTCAAATCACATGTGATCTAAAGCTCTGCTTCACATCATCAATGGAGAACATTAACCCTATGGGGACAATGGTCATTGTTGTTTGTTCCTTATGAGTTCCTTCATCAAAAAAGGAAGGGGGGAAAAAACCTCTCAAAAATTACTCCTCCTCCCCAAATGCAAATACAGTTGCCCGGCCCCTAATAGAGTAAAAGACCATCCTCTGTTTACCTGTGCACCTGCTGAAGCCATCGAAGCCCCACCTCTCTGGGAACTTGTGAAACAATCTGGGAACTGAGCCAAAATCCACACTCCAGCTATATAAGAGTCATCAAAAGACAGGTGCCTCCTCAGGAGCCTGTCGTTCGGTACATGCTGCCGAATTCCAGCCAGGATGGGGACAGGCAGGGGGTCATGGATACCACTATGGATACCATTGCTAATGATCGCCTTAACACACCATAAAGGTAGGATTCTTTGACAGAACTTCATTTCCTTGTGCATACAGTGTATGACTGACTTCTCCTCTAGTTCAAATGACTTTACAGTGGTTTTGTTTGCTTTGCCTCATTAAAAGCTAATCAGGAATTTAAACACACACTAGTTTTGAATTTTTATAGTCACCAATACACCCGCTCTAATACTGGTGTGTTCACATTTTACAGCCGCAGTGCCCAGAATAAATAATTTGATCTTTGCAGCTGTGATATCTGCAGTATCTGGTTGCTGAACCAGGGACTGGGAGTTTAGTTTCCCACTGTGCCTGCTGAATAGTGGCTGGACTTGATGATCCGTAGGGTCCCTTCCAGCTCTGCAGTTCTAAGATTATGATGATTTTTATATTTTTGAGGGGAGGGCACAACCTAATCAAGGAAAGAAACCCAATTGAAAAAGACATGAAAATTAATTCTAGCACGTGCCAACCTGATTATTTTTTAAAAAATAAAATAAAATAAAATGAGATTTGCAAAAATATGGTATTTTGAGACTTATAAACCTGATAGATGGGTCAGGCAAATGGGAATTCAGCATGATCCAGATTGCTTGCAACAACTATTAGGCTGTATTGGAGAGCCCTTTGAAATCAGTGGCAAAAAGCCTATGTTGATTTCAGAGAACTAAATTTCCATTTAAATTCAGTTGAATTTGTGATAATCATAAAAACAGGAGCACCAAGGTAAGAATATTTTATGCCAATCAAACTTCTGTTCTGTATCTTTTGTGCATTCTGAAAGAGGGCACCTAATCTCCCCCAGCCCACACCATTGTGATCTATGGAGTTCAGCTGGACTAGAAAAACATGGTAATACTTTGAAGAAAAGCCATCCCTTGAAATGAGGCAGCTCTGTGTCAACTCCACACACATAAATGCTCCCTTCCCCTTTTAGTGTCTCTTATTGAGATCCATTTTAAGGGGACTTGGGAAGACCAGATTGACTAAATGTATTATCTCAAGTCTAAAGGAAAGGTGGATGGAAACTGCACACATTGAAATAGCACCAAAACACACATGTACACATAAACCCCTGACCACAAGGAAAACCAGAGCTAATTATTTTCTCTGCAATGTATTCATAGTGATTGTTCTTTCGTAAATACTTTCTCCTTCTCCTTCACACTCTAAACAATTGTAAATAACTGCTGGAACTGGATGGTCACACCTATAAAAACTATCTACATTATCACTAGGTGTGATGAATAGTATTTCACAAACAAACATGGAATGAGCCATACTGCAATCGTTCATTCCTAATCTGCCTTACGTTATCAGCTCTTGACTATCGTGGAGAGCTAACATGAAATTCAGCATAGTTGTTTCAGGTAGAACTGTACTTGGTATACACTAAATGCAGAAGCATGTGTAATGGAACATCATAGTGTCCTCCAAAAGATACCAAAAGAGGCATATGCTGTAAGTTGGATCAGCTGGATTGTGTTTTAACACAAGTCTTCTTAAACATAACAGCAACAACTTTCTTGCAGCAAGTATATATGAAAATATGTTTTCATTTTTCTTATTTTGATTTATGGTCAATGTGCCCAGAACTTTGTAAGATTGAACGATGCACTCCAGGTTCAATCAAACTTTTCATCCGTACCTTTAAGTAGTGATTTAATAGTTCAGTGAAAATGATAGCTCAGGTAGTGCAAGCATTTTTTAAAAAAGCAACATTTGGTGTACTGGGGGATGGCCTGAAATTAAAATGAGCTTGTCTAGCTATCATAACATTGTTTGAGAGCTTCTGACAGTTACCTTCAGGGGTTACATGAGGGATTCTGGGATTTGTAGTCAATAAAGTAACTTTTCCAAATTTGTGATTCTATGTGAATCCATAATGTGGCTCTTTTTGTAACACTATCTCCCTTCAAGAAATGGGAATTGTGCATGAAGGGATAACAAAACCTATCAGCAGATTGGGAGCATCTTTCACTTAAGGAAAGACTAAATTGGCCTTTAAAAATGTGGACAAAGAAAGGAGCCAGAGGCAATTTTTTTAAAAAAAACATTAAAGGGGTCTTCAACACCCTCTGTGACATTCTGAGTCTCATTTTCCAGGCCCAAAAAGAGCCCTGGAAAGTTTTGGAACCTGAAGGGAGCAGGAGATAGGAAGTTTTCAATCCATTTAAATTAAATCTTTCTATTGGTGGATTCAGTTTATGTGGTGAAATTTTATTCCAACAGGAATTTGCTGATCAGATTGAATGGCTGAAATCCTATTGCTTTGGTACTCAAGCAGAAGGCACAATATTCAGCCATCAGCAATAAAGGAGTCACCACTATGATTCTCAGGGCACACATCCACACTGACCTGGTGCACACTCAAGAATCCCAGCAAAGATTCTTTAATTGCAGTTGGAAACAAGTAAAATTGATACCTTTTGCCTTCCGCCTGAGTAGCAAAGCAACAGGATTTCAGCCAATATCATATTATATATGATTTCATATATGTATTAGTCTTTACAGTGCCACAGAATTCTGCTTTTTGCTGCAATAGCTCTATACCTATGGAAACTGTTAGAATGATTAAATCATAGCAGTTAAAAATGTGAAGAAAAGTTCATTTCACTCTCTCTTACTAATAGGGGGTCACCAAATAAAATTCATTGGTAGTAGACTGAGTGCAAAGAAAATACTTTTCTATAATGCAATACCTCAAGAAAAATGAAAGGTCATTTTTAAAAAGTGCTGGGGTTAAAAACTGAAGGAACACACATTTACTAGTTACCATTCTTCAGAGCCCGGGCAGCTTACATTTCCCAGAATCCTGCAGCCAGCAGGCGTTGATCATTTCCCCAATACAGACTTGGTCCTCACAGACCGCATGGCTGCAGATGCTGACTCCCCAAGAAGTTTGGGAAACTGGGCTTTCTCAGCAGTGGCACCTTCCTAGTGGAACGGCCTCTCACGGGAGGTATGGTAGGAGCCATCCATTAGCACATTCAAAAAGCTCTTAAAAACTGTTCAGAGGGACTTTTGAGGAGGCTCTTTCCAAGTAGCTGGGGCAGTGGACAAAGGAGGAGAAGAATATTGCAATTTTTTATTTGGTTCATTGCCCCCGTCTAGTTTTTGTCCTTTCAATTTGTAGCATTGTCTAGTGTTTTTATTGATTATATAATTTATGCTTTTGCTGTACACCATGCTGAGTAGCAAGTGGTTAGATGGGTGGTATATAATTTGAATGAATGAATGAATGAATGAATGAATGAATGAACGAATGAATGAACGAATGAATGAACGAATGAATGAATGATACATGACATACAGAAAATGAAAAAATATTCATGGAACTTCGAAAGATATCAAATCTGTTTCCTCATCCATAACTAGGAATCAGACTATCCTACCTCTTGACATGCAGGTTTCATATAATTCTTAGTATTAGTAACGAAGATTGAAGAAGTTGCTCTTTTCAATGACAACTCCCAGAATTCTATCCACATTCATACAATTCTGGGATTTTAGCAGCTATTGCCCAAAAAACTCTGGATAAACTCTGGCCTGGATAAAAAAATATTTTAATTACTGGCTGGAATCCAATTGGACAACAATAGGATTCTGGTAATTTTAAAAAATGCTGATAAATATCATAATGAAATCCATAATCATTATTTCTGTCTTGCTCTTTTAATTTTTGCCATAGCTTATTCCCAGTATGAACAGCAGCAATCCCAGTATGAGGATCAGCAATTTCAGTATGAGGACCAGCAATACGACCAACAGCAAAATTATGAGGAACTTATGTCTGTGCAGCCGACACATGACCGTAGGTATTTTTAATGTTAGTTTGAGAAATGGGCAAAATGTGTGAGTTGGTTTCTCTCTGTCTATGAGCTATACAGAACCAGATGCTTGTTGACACAATCCCTTTCATACTAAGGAAGATATGATGTCCAAACATGTGCATGAAAATATGACTAAGCATGAGCAATCTCTCTTATGGAGTTGGGGATCAGCAGGGCACCAGTGGCTCTCCCAATAAAATGGGCAGCAGAATGTGGGCAGGGAAAAAAACAGTAGGAGAGGAAGCAAGCTGGACAGACAGACTGGCAACATCTAACAATTTACAGGGGTTCTCCTCCCAGTGGGCGTCCTGGGGTAGTCGGACATCGAAAGAATGAAAGTGTAATTTCAAAAGCAAACATGGGAAAAAGAGGAAAAAATATATGCCTGCCATCCTGCATAGAGAAAGCAGGAGCTTACAACCCCATGCAATACCAGCTTTCATAGTGTCATCTTCCTCCTCCTGGGATATCCTAATGGATGCTGCAAAATAGAGGCATCATTGAGAAAAGGTGTTTAGCAGGATTCTCCATGTATGTCCAGAATCTGTTTACAATACCACTCAATTTCAACAGCTGCTTCTTCCTCCATCCTCTCTGTCTCATAGATTTATGTCCTTGCCTAATGGCTAGCAATTGTGTGATAATACTGGAACACGGGCTGAAACACTGTTGCTTAGCTTCATAAGGCAAAATTAGAGTAGGCCCATTGTATCAATGAGGTTTTGATGCACCAACTCCTCTGTAAGGTTCCATTGATTCAAAAGGGCCTACTCTAGTTGGAGCCTCTAAGCTGAAGCTGCAGCTGGAGTAGACGCATTTGAATCAATAGAAGTTATAAAGGAGTTGACTCACCAAATGCTCACTGACTGAATGAGCAACTCTAATGCAACTTACTACACTAAGCAACAGAATGTCAGCTAAAAACCGAACATTCCCCTTTCCATGCAGTAATCAATTTCAAATCCTGCATTTATACTTTTTGATGTTTTAAAGTGACAGTGGAGCCTTTCAAAGTGCTGATTTGCTTACCTAGAGAGGGTGATAAGGAGAGCTCTCAGATACTGTATAGGACAGGAAATTCTGTGTACATTAAGATTATATTAATTTTCTTTGGTTACAAACCACACAAACATGCACATACCACACAGATATCTAATCTGGAACAATATTTACATATTAGAGGTGCGCAAATAGACTCTGAGAGCTTGGGTGTATAAGTGGAACACCCATGGTAGTGAGTAATAGAGGATGTTGCTTTTTCTTTTATAATATCTACATCCATCCCAAAAGACTTACAAATATTCAGCATATCTATATATGAGGAATTCTGAGGATTAGAAACTTTGGCTTTTAAGGAAAGTTTAGTGATCTAATAAAAGGTGTTGCCATACCTTGATTCTGAATTTTATTTATGATGTATAAGACTAAATCCTTCCCTTTTAATAACACATTCATATACTAATTTTATTTAAAACATTTTAATGTGCTCCTGAATAATATCTGTTTATGTTGCTTGTAGGCAGTGTCACCGTTTTTTCAAGAACAAATCATAGGCTGTCTTCCTTACCTAATATGCTTCAAAATGGGTTCACTTTAGCTAAACAACAATAGGTTTGATAGAAATGACAGAGAAAGGAAAAAGTGAAGAAGTTCAAGTTTGAAGATGTCTTACCTTCTGTTTGTTATTATTCTTTAGGAGAAATATTTCACTAACTGTAATTATATTTTTTTCTCCTTTTTAAAATCAAATCAGCTCCTTTTGTTGTTTCTACCTCAGCTCCTATAAGTAAAGTGACCCTCATCCCTTCAATGAGAACAACTCTAGCAGTCAAGGGTAAGTTGGCCAAAGATTAGAATTATGAGTTTTAGATCTGTACCCTTCATGTCAATTATTTTATTTTCATTTCACTCACATCCTCAGATCTTCAGCAACAAATCCTCCAAAACAGAAATTTGGAGAATGCGGGCTGTCATGTATTAATGAGAAAAGGGCTGGAGACGAGAGAAGGGGATATTAGTGGTGGTCATAGGGATATGTGAAAAGTCATAAGATTGAGATCAAATTGGGGGATATTATATGGCTCCAATGAAGGCAATTTCGAAGATAAATCAAAATCATTGTTATTGAATGGAAGGATGGGAGGCAAGACTTTGGATGAAGCCTTACAGATTGCTTTGAATCCACAGCTGGAAATCCTGCTCACAATGAGAGGGTGTGCAGCACATGGGGGAACTTCCATTTCAAGACCTTTGATGGAGACATCTATTATTTCCCTGGGATGTGCAATTACATCTTCTCATCTCATTGCAAGGCCTCCTATGAAGACTTCAACATCCAAATAAGGCGCGCTGTGGTTAACAACGCTACCGTTATTCGCTACGTGACCATCAGACTTGATGGTGTGGCCATTGAACTGACCCCAAACGTTGTTACAGTCAATGGAGAATCGTAAGTTCACAATCTTAGTTTCGTTATTTCACTGTTAGAAATTCCAGTAATGCCAGAACAAAGGGGGGAAAGGAACCACAAAAAGATGTTGTGCTTAGAAGTTTAAATTAGGTATTTGTGAAAGAGATGTTTTCTGTATGTCATCTTCCACATCAACTGCAATTTGTTTTATTCTCCAGTGTGAAGCTACCTTATAGCCACTCTGGAATCTTGATTGAAAGAAGTTCAGGTTACTTGAAAACCACTGCCAAATTAGGCCTGGAGCTTATGTGGAATGGAGAAGATGGACTTTTGGTAAGGATCAGTTCCAGATATTACAAAGAAATCATGGAATTTGGGGTTTTGGGAAAGACTTACTGACTAAGTGGCACATGTTAGGAACAGATCATGGCATTGCCCCCCTGCCCCTTTATTGGCGTCTTGCACACGAGAGCTGTATAATAACTATGTATTATCCTCCAAACCAGTAGTCCCTAACCTTAGGCCTCCAGATGTTCTTGGACTTCAACTCCCAGAAATCCTAGCCAGCAGAGGTGGTGGTGGAAACTTCTGGGAGTTGTAGTCCAAGAACATCTGGAGGCACAAGGTTGGGGACCACTGCTCTAAACAACAACTGTAACATGAATTAGTGTACATTTATATGTGCATGCTTAGCAAGCTGGCGGTCATTATGAGAAGCTGCAATTTAGATGTTATGATATCCAGGAGGTTTCAGATTAGGTAAAAACAAATTTGCACATCCCTAGCCCTGAACATTGCATAATGTATCATTCTCCTTTCTTCTTTATAATGAAGAAGAGAACCTAAAATTGTTTTTCTCATGTCATCATTTTTAGCTGGTGGCTGTTTGTGGAAAATTCTTTAGTTAAAAACAGTTTGGAATATGAAAGAACAGGGACTGTTCATCATTTGTCTTCTAACTGTTGTTTTTAGGTGAAGTATAAACAAAATGACAGTATATCTGTTAGAGAGTCTTGTGTTTTTAATTTCATTGGCTGATAATAAAAACCAATCAGAACTTAAACATATAATATTTCCCGTTGGCCCTTTGAGCACTTGAATCATTTGCTTGGTCTGGTCATTGCCTGCATTTGGGCATCACCCTAAACCAGTGGCTCCCAACTTTGGGTCCCCAAATGTTCTTAGGCTATAACTCCCAGAAAGCTTTACCACTAGCTATGCTAGACAGGATTTCTGGGAGGTGCAGGAACATCTGGGGACCCAATGTAGGGAAAAACTGCCCTAAATCATACTTTATCACAGTGAAACAGGATGCAGAAAATCTCAGGTTCACACCCTCCCCTCTTCTCTGCTGGGATCTGATTTGGATTAAAGATAGATTGTTGTGTCACCTCGCACCAACAAACAATGGTCAGTGTTAATCGTGGATTATTTGAACCAAACCAACTTTAAACAATGAGTTATGAAGTATATTGTTGATGCAAGCCATAGATATATTAGCCACAGTTTGGGATTTGCATAGTACTGAAACACAATTAACTGAAATCAGGGGAAAAGTTTTCAAATGCCTTTTTGAAGCTATGACAGCCATCAACTCTGATTTTTATTTACAATGCTCACTACTATACATGTTCATTACGGCTGCATTGTGTTTCTTTTATCTTGATTTAGCTGGAGCTGAATGAGAAATATGCTAATCAGACTTGTGGTCTTTGTGGAGATTTCAATGGAATCCAAGAATACAATGAATTCATTTCAAATGGTGAGTACAAAAGCAACACATGCAGATGTTTTTATGGCTTTTAAAAGTGGGATACTTATCAGTTCGTTTGTACAATAACAATATTTACCTTGGCAAACACCGTAATGAAGACTGATTTTATAGCTTTGTAGCAGCAGCCAGTGTTTTAAAAGGGTCAGTGCTTGTCTGTTGAAGTGACTCCTTACAAATATAGTTAATATTTGCAAGTTAACTTGTAGAGTCTTTGTTTCAGTTCAAATATTGTTAACCTGTAAAATTTTTGTCTTGCTTCACTTCTGTGTGTCCTGTTTTGTTTTGTTTTTTTTGTAATTAATTGTGTATAAATCCTACACAGTTTAAAACTTGACTTCTTTTGAGAAACAGGATCCTCCCAGTTTTAGTCATTCATCCATCTATTTATATTGCATTATATTTTAAATCTGCCCAATTAGAGAAGTCTGGAAGGGTTACGAAAAAGTTCAGAAAATACAATAGAATACAATGCAATGTGGTTTTTTTTTAAAAAAGGAAAAATATTAAAATAACTATAATATATAAACATCTAAAACCTGGACATCTAAAGTGCCTCAAAGAAAAGAGCACCAAAGAAGTAACAGTGTAAGCACCAAGCAAACTTTTTTAGCAAAAACATTTTATAATGGGTCATCATCGCTGGGAAGATAAGAAATAATCGTAGTGAGCACCAGGTCCATAATTGTGTGCAGTGAAGATCCTCCTTCAGGATATTGTGCCTTGCAGTCCAGATTAAGCTAGATCCTACTTCCCTTGTGAGCATAAAAGTATGAGCTTGGACCTGGCAGGATGGTTGTCTTAAAGGACATTTTTCCTTCTTTTCAAGAAAAGCACCCTTCAGGTCCCTTGTGAGCATAAAAGTATGAGCTTGGATCTGGCAGGATGGTCGTCTTAAAGCAGTGGTCCCCAACCTTGGGTCTCCAGATGTTCTTAGACTTCAACTCCCAGAAATCCTGGCCAGCAGAGGTGGTGGTGAAGGTTTTTGGGAGTTGTAGTCCAAGAACATCTGGAGGCCCAAGGTTGGGGACCACTGTCTTAAAGGACATTTTTCTGCAAGGTTCATTTATGAGGCATTTCAAGAAAAGCACCCCTCAGGCTTGACAATCTGCTCTTGGTCACATGCTCCTGTCAATTTGTCCTACATGTACAGCATTTCCTACAGGGAACTGAATGTGGATCTCAGTCAAGTGAGATCATAATGAATCCATTTTTATGGGATTGCCAATTAACTAGTCTTAAAGGACATTTTTCTGCAAGGTTCATTTATGAGGCATTTCAAGAAAAGCACCCCTCAGGCTTGACAATCTGCTCTTGGTCACATGCTCCTGTCAATTTGTCCTACATGTACAGCATTTCCTACAGGGAACTGAATGTGGATCTCAGTCAAGTGAGATCATAATGAATCCATTTTTATGGGATTGCCAATTAACTAAGGCAGATCTGAGTGTTTCTACCTTCCTTTCAGGGAGTTAATTACGTTTACAATCTGCTCTTGGTCACATGCTCCTGTCCATCTGTCCTACATGTACAGCATTTCTTACAGGGAACTGAATGTGGATCTCAATCAAGTGAGATTATAATGAATCCATTTTTTATGGGATTACCAATTAACTGAGGCAGATCTGAGTGTTTCTACCTTCCTTTCAGGGAGTTGCATTAATTACGTTTTGGAAAATGTTCATGCTCATGATGTGAGACAAATATTGCAGTATTATAGATATGAAAGGGTAAAGACGCCTTTGGCCCTCATGAGAGATGACCTCTTTAAGATGTCACCTGGAGTGTTTCTACCTTCCTTTCAGGGAGTTGCATTAATCACCTTTTGGTGATTATGATGTGAGACAAATATCGCAGCATTATAGATATGAAAGGGTAAAGACACCTTTGGGCCTCATGAGAGATGACCTCTTTAAGATGTCACCTGAGCATATGGTAACTAAATAATACCTATAATTAGAGAAAACTGAACACTATGCCCTGCATGATGCTGAGCAGGATAATGGCACTCCTCCATCTCCATCTTCCTAACATCACAATTCTTCCAAGAGTCCATTTGTTCACCATGTCATGTGGGTTCATGCTCTCATTCCTGATTCAGTCTACCAAATGTACCTGGTCTAAAGCTAACAAACATGCTGCCAGGTTCAACCCAGATGGGCGGGCTGCTTTCCCCATCTAGTCTCACACTGTGTACAAAGATAGGGTGGTTATTTTGAAAATAACACTGTGCAATATTTGTGCAGGGTTCAAGCTGGATCCGGTGCAGTTTGGCAACATGCAAAAGATGGATGGTCCCACAGAACAATGTGCAGATCCTCTCCCTTCATCTGCAAGCAACTGCAGTCATGAGTTTGTAAGGATCTTTGTTTTAATTAATCCTATTTAAGGGAGATATTGTCTTCTCTTTGTCCTTGGGGTATGTCAAATAAATAGTTTTTCATACATGTGCGTGCAATGGTCCTATGAATAAGTGCTAACTTACCAAGATTATCAGTCAAAATCAGTAGTAGTTCAACAGTTAACAGTGGTGGATTAAGCCTATTGTCTTAAAGCAATTGATTTCTTCCTTCCAGGCTACTCTCTGTGAAAATATTCTGACTAGCGAAGCATTCATGGGCTGCAATGCACTAGTGGAGGTGCAGGATTATGTGGATGCTTGCATACAGGATCTTTGCAGGTGTGAGGCATCTGCAATTGATGTCTGCGTCTGTGACACCTTTGCTGAATATTCCAGGCAATGTGCCCATGCGGGTGGATTGCCGCTTGAATGGAGAACTGAAGACCTGTGTCGTAAGTTTGCCTGAAAGGAACTTTCACCTCTTGGGGCATCCCCTGGTATCAAATTCATGGAATCATGAAATCAAAAGTGGGTCATCTAGTCCAATCCCATGGTCAGTGCAGATCACCTCCAGCACAGGTGACGTTCATGTTCTGTTTCATGACACACAGAGACCCTACTAGGGAGTGCTTCCCTTTCCCCTACATGATTTATTCCATTGTCAAACTGCTATTACCATTAAGAGGTTTTCCCAGGATGCAGCCAAAATCTACCCTTCTGTAAACCTCCTTAGATTTAGCCCTGTACTTTGTGGTAGCAGAGAACAAGTTTTTAAACTCTTCTGCGTCATAGCTCTGCAGCTCTGTGAAGAGTGCTATCACATCCCCACTGTATTTTTTTTCAGTCTTTCATCATAATGCTTGGTTTCCATGCTCCCTGCTGCATGAAAAACTGCACAGGGCCACAACGTAAGCCAGGCCATGAATATGGCTTAATCCATTTTCATCTGTGTGTGTGTCACACACCTACCCAATGTATGAGGCTATGTAACATGTCATCATTTATTTCTCCTTGCAGCCAAGACCTGTCCTTACAACATGGAGCACCGAGAATGTGGATCCCCATGTTCTAATACTTGTACCAATCCTGAAAGATCCCAGCTCTGTGAAGATCACTGTACGGACGGCTGCTTCTGTCCCTTAGGTGAGTCAGCATCCATGCTTGCACCTGACTTTATATACCAGCATTTGATTGTGTCTTCTCTAGCTTTAAAGAAATAATGAAATCTACAAGAACATAATAATGTTAACCGTATCTCCTTCTTTTAGGCACTGTGTTTGATGACATTAACAATTCCGGCTGCATTGCCCTGGAGAACTGTCCCTGTACTTACAATTCAGAAACCTATTCTCCTGGGGCTTTCTTCGCATCCCAGTGCAGTTCATGGTAAGAAGCATTTTGACCCATTCATCATGAGTTATTTGGATTGTGGGTGAGAGTCGTTTTAAACAACGTTATTTGAAATAATATAATGGGTTGAGAATATAATGGGTTATATATAATTAGCCAAGGTAAATTAGGCAGACCGTACAGAAACACTTGGCTAATTGTGACTCCCTGATGAGGTGCTGGAAAATGGCTTGCTTATAAGAGGGGAAGGGATAAAGAAATTCCAAGGGGTACCATGACAGTCTGAGGCTGTCAGCATCTTTCACATTCAATTCATTTTGTTTCTGGTATTCTTAAGTTTAATTCTGTTTATTAACTATTTACTAAAGTTAGCAAGACAAGAAATTCTACTTGTGCTTACTTTTAGTTTAAAAGATTTAACTAGTTTTTTTTAATTGTACTTTCACATTCTGGATTGAACTGTTTGTTAAAATGGAGCTGGATAATGAAAGAGTTGGGAGGCACTGGCATTTATCAATAAAGGGGGCATGGTGCTGAAAAATTTAGAAGCCACTGCCTTAGAGAATACAGATACAGTAGTGTGCTATCTATGAATATAGATTCCTTTTATTTTATAAAAAAACAGGTGTGATTTTAGCTCCTTAGAAAACAGTGCAACACAACATAGTACCTATAAAAAGTGATTTATTTTTTGAAAAGACTAGAATCTATAACCTGATGAAATAAATGGAAGCTAGCATGTTGATTGACCTAGTTTTACTTATACTACTTTTTATTGCTTTGTTTATGTTTATCATAGAATTATAGAATAACAGTGTTGGAAGGGGCCTATAAGGCCACTGAATCCGACCTATTCCTCAGTGCAGGAAATCAAAATCAAAAGGTATCTGACAGACAGCTGTCTAAATTTCTCTTGAATGCTTCCAGTCTTGAAGCACTCACCGCCTCCGAAGGTAACTGGTTCCATTGTTGTACTGCTCTAACAGTTAGGAATTTTCTCCTGATATTCAGTCAAAAACTGGCTTTCTGTAATTTGAGTCCATTATTACGTGTCCCACGTAATATGATCGAGAGCAGATCCTGCCTTGCAAGTATTTGAAAACTGCTATCATAGCTTCTCTCAGTCTTCCTTCCTCAAGGCTAAACATGGCCACTTCTTTCAGTCTTGCCTCATGGAGCTTGAATTCCAGTCTCTGTGTTTATATTATCATCAGTTGACGGCACATTTCTGTCTCTTTTTTTCTCCCCCAGCAAATGTACTGGAGGTCAGTGGGCCTGTGTTAGTCTTCCATGCCCTGGCATGTGCTCCATTGAAGGTGGCTCCCACATCACCACACTTGATGAGAAAAGATATTCTGTCTTTGGTGACTGCAGCTATGTTCTAACCAAGGTAAATTTTGTGGGAGAATTTGACTGAAGAAGCTGGTTTAGCTCAGTAGGTTGAAGCAGCTGGCTGTGGAGCCAAGGGTCTACACTTTGAATCCCTGCTGTGTCTCTTCGTAGAGAGGATATCTGGTATCACCTGGAACATATGGGGCTTACTGTATGAGGTTACATGCCCTGGTACTTGTGTGGCCATGGGGAAGCTGCACAATTTCCATGCACTACAAGAGGTGCTGTTCTCTTGTGGTCTAAAAATATATAATTCCTGGAAAATCAGGGAGTTGCCATAAGTCAAAACTGACTTATTGTTGTTTGCGGTGGTGGTGTTATTGTTGTTGTTTGATTATGATTATTTATAGCAATAGTAGTATGTGAAGTCATCTTACATCAAGGGCAGGTGAAGAATGGTCCATGGACTGCATGCATCCCCCTTAGACCTAAATGTACATTCCCTACTCCTGGACCCCAGAAGCATCCACATAGAAACCCCAAGGTTTTTCCATTTTTATTTTTATTTAAAGTTATGCCCATCTCCCCTTGTGCCTTCTAGGTGGCATGGGGTAATTTTGCCATGTTGGGAGGGGAGGTCAACTGTTTTAGCTGAGAGGGAGAAACGTTTTTGAAAACTGGAAGAAGGTGGTGAAGGGAAGCAGAGAGCAGCTATTGAAACAATACAGGCTAGAGAGAGATGCAAAGATGGAAAACCACTGTATCATTGTAGGAGTGGGGGAAGGAAGAGAACCCTGATTACCCCCATTGATGTTGCAATGGTCCCCCTGGGTTAAAAGTACGGAAAGCCAGATCAATGAAAGGGAAAATATCAGCTGTTCAGGACTTGATCCTGGATGAACATGCTGACCTGGCCTGTATTATGGAGGCCTGGTTAGAGGAAACTGGGCAGTTAGTTTCTCCCAGTTCTGCCCATCTGGGTTCTCTATGTAGCAGCAGAGGGGAGGGGGTTTCTGTAACCTATCATGATTCTATTCCCCTCACCATGTGCCTCTCCCCACAATTTGCTGGGTTTGTATGTGTATACCTGAAAGTGGGTGCGCAGGAGAGAGTAGGCATTCTGTTGGTATACTGCCCATCCTACTGCTCAACTCTCTCCCTTCCTGAGATGGCTGAATTGGTCTCAGAACTGATGCTGCAGTCCTCTAGGCTTGTAGCATTGGGAGACTTAAGCATCCAAGCCAGGGCCACCTTCTGCATGTCAGCCGATAAATATTTGCAGCCCTTTTATGAAAAAGTACTACAACTACAACTTTTTAGGAGTTCCATTGGTGGAACACAGTAGCTGTTTCATTCATTGTTGTTTGAAAATTGCAGTTTATTCTACAGAGTGTGAAAACAAAAGGTCTCATGGTTAAAAAGATGAAATGGAGTCTCCAACATCCTGAATTCTAACCCCTACTTATTATCCAATGCAGCCATAATATGAATGACACAACCACACAGACAGGCGATCATATAGTTTTTCTCCTTGGAATTATAACAAAAGCAAGCAGGCCCCTACGTCATCCTCAAGCAGCATTAGAAGCCATGAACTAGGCAGCCATGTGCAAGTACTCCCCTTAATATTCTTTAGTGGAAAGGCTGTGGTTTTGCCAGCAAAGTGATCACATTCTTCACGTGCAGGAAAGCTGATGTGAGGACACTAAAACTCAGACCCCTCTCTCAGTCATGAAGCATGCGGGATGACTCTGGCATTTTCCCCAGCCTTCCACAAGTTATTTTACAGGGTTGTTGTGACGCTGTATTGCACCATATGTTCCTTGGAAAGAAGGAATGTAAAGATACAAATAAATGAAGTCTCAAATTCAATCCCTGAATCTTGAGTTAAAACACTCAGGTAGCCAAAAACTCAGACCCCTCTCTCAGTCATGAAGCATGCGGGATGACTCTGGCATTTTCCCCAGCCTTCCACAAGTTATTTTACAGGGTTGTTGTGACGCTGTATTGCACCATATGTTCCTTGGAAAGAAGGAATGTAAAGATACAAATAAATGAAGTCTCAAATTCAATCCCTGAATCTTGAGTTAAAACACTCAGGTAGCCAATAATGGGACGTGGTGGCGCTGCAGGCTAAACTGCAGAAGCCTCTGTGCTGCAGGGTCAGAGTGGAAAGGCTGTGGTTTTGCCAGCAAAGAAAGCACGTGCAGGAAAGCTGATGTGAGGACACTAAAACTCAGACCCCTCTCTCTCAGTCATGAAGCATGCGGGATGACTCTGGCATTTCCCCCAGCCTTCCACAAGTTATTTTACAGGGTTGTTGTGACACTGTATTGCACTGCATGTTCCTTGGAAAGAAGAAGGAATGTAAAGATACAAAATAAATGAAGTCTCAAATTCAGTCCCTGAATCTTGAGTTAAAAGACTCAGGTAGCCGATAATGGAAACAACATCTGCCGGTGGTGCTGGACAGCAGACAATATCAGGCTAAAGGGAGAAAGTCTTGCTAATGCTCTGTTCTTTCACTTGCAGGTCTGTGACAGCAACGTCTTTACTGTTCTGGGAGAAATTCGGAAGTGTGGCCTGACAGACACCGAGACCTGCCTGAAAGGCGTAGCCATCAGCGTAGCTGGAGGCCAGACAGTAAGTAGAAAAATCAACAAGTCTAAATTTATGTCTTAAAGGTACATAGCACATTGACATAAAGATGTTGTATTTTTGTAATCCATTAGTGTAGGAAGTATGATATTCTGCACAGGAGAGTAAATCCAGCATCACTACAAGAAGAATTACTAACTCAACTAGAGAGAGAGAAAAAAACCCACATATGCCATGACTTGCACAAATGGAATAAAAGTATTGGAGTCCTCACTTGTGATTCAATTCCTCAGTGGAAGAAGAAAATACGCTTTCAGATTTAACCTGAAAATAGAATTATTCCTATTTGATCTTCTACCTACCATTCCTGTTGCTAGCAAGAAAGTTATACTAGAGACTTGAAACAAACCAACTACCTGGACAGTTTAGTATATGAAATTCATTCTCCTGGTGTGACCCTTAGCTGGTTCTACTTTCGCCTTTAAGATTTCCCACTAGCAGTCCTTCAATATCAGAAGCCATAACTTCTAATGAATTCCTTTTCTTTTAGTTACATATGCCTTTTCACAGATTTTATATGCAGGACCCCAACCCACAATTTTAATCGCTCCATATTCCAGTTCTTATAGACTATGCCCCATTTCTTCACTTGTTTATTTTCTTGGCTTCTTTCCTCAGGCCTGCTCCTTCATCATCATCATCTTCCCTTAGGTTTACATTCCTTAATCCACTATGTATCCCATTAACGCCTTCCTTTGATGACCTTAGCTTTAAGCTATCAACCTCTTGGCTTCTGTTGACTTCTTGTACAGTGGGGTCTTGACTTAAGAACGGCTCGAGTTAAGAACATTTTGACTTAAGAACCACTCTCATAGGAAAATATTGACTTGACTTACATACTTAGATTTGAGTTAAGAACTGAAAAAAACCCACGTGGGAGGCAGGGAAAGTGCAAAATGTGAACTTTCAGTTAACTGTTGGCCAGTGAAAAGGGTGCCTGTCTGCTTCCTCACTCCTTCCAGCGTTTAGAGAGTAGATTGTGAGACAGTCTTCGGACTGCCTGGTACTGTATTGCCTGGACTGTATTTTCCCTGCTTTCCCTGAACCTTTCTTGACCTAAGAAAAAAAGAAACAAAATATCCCCCTCCAGTGGTCGAAGGCGGAATAGCAACTTCCCATTAGTTTCTATGGATGGAAAAGAGCAGATACGGATCAAATGGTTTTCAATGCATTCCTATGGGAAATGCAGATTTGACCTGAGAACTTTTTGACTTGAGAACTGCCTTCCAATACGGATTAAGTTCTCAAGTCAAGACCCCACTGTATCTCTTTCATTCTTAGCATGCTCATAAAGCCAATGTAGTCCATAAGGGTCTATGCAAAGGTTTTAATCACAGAAAATTGACAGTTATCTCTTCCGCCACAAAAACTCTTCCGGGCGGCATATAAATTAAAAAAAAAAAAATATGTTTCAAATTGATTACATGTCTATATGCTTTTTTGATATTTCAATTGTATTTTGAGCTGGATTTGCCTTTTAAATACTGTATTGTCTACACTGCTTTGACTGCCTTTATTAGGAAAAGGATGGGATATAAAATGAATGAATTAATGAATGTCTAAAACTCCATCACCACAAATACACCACAGTACAGATTCTGTTGACTTGGATGTCAAATTAGGAGTGTGTGAATACTTCTCACAGTGGATAATGGAAAACACAGTACAGTAGTGCTTCTTTTTTCTAAGTATTCCTAACCATTACCTATCTTGCCATTTCTCCTCTGCCAGGTAGTTGTGATCAAGTCTACTGGGGTTGTGTATGTGAATATGATCCTCAGCCAACTGCCTGTCTCAGCATGTGAGTACTTTTCACTCCACTCTGTTTCTGCTGTGCTTTAGATATTTACTCTATATAGTGCCAGGTACTATTATCTTCAATCATGGCTGATAATAATTTATGAAAGAGGTCTAACTGCATTAAGTTCTATGTTCAAGTAAGCTTTCCAATAAATTCTAAGTGAGAGACACGATCTGTGCACATGCTCATTTGTGAAATGAAATGTATACAAAAGTCAGAATCCCACAGGGTTTGTTTGGCTTAAATGGGCAATTGTGCAAGTGACCCAGTCTATGTAGCCGGCCATCCATCATCCTTCCCTCCATATTTCAGTCGGGAAAATAAATGTGTGCCAGGTCACATCACCACCCCACAATGGGTGGTGAGCTAGAAGGAGGAATCATCTTGTGTATTTGACATGTGTAATTTACTACAATAGAATTTTGACTGGTAAATCTGATAGATGGAGTTGCTCTTGCTGCTAGATAACTGTATGTTACTGGGAAGCTGGCTGAAGCTGGAATTCTGCCTGCTATGGTGTTGCAAACTTAATGTCATTGAAGAGAGCAAGTCTGAATGTAAAGTTTGCCACATGAATGGCTTTCTTCTCTTTGGTGAAAAAAGGGAAACAGGAGAGAAAATAATTATTTAATGAAGGAACTAATTCATAATATCCATACTATGATGTTTCCAGAAGCTGTAGAGCCAGTTATCATCCATGTACTTTAAGCGTGAAGGAACTATTCATTCATTCATTCATTCATTCATTCATTCATTCATTCATTCATTCATTTGCTGCCTTTCTCCCCATAGGGTCCCAAGGCAGCTCACAACAGATAAACAACAAAATTAAATATCACATTTTTTAAAAAAATAACTAAACATACTGTTCATTAAGATTAGAAGGCAGCTCACAACAGATAAAACAACAAAATTAAATAACACATTTTTTTAAAAAATGAACTTACTGTACATTAAGATTAAAAACTGAAGTATAAAAATGATTCAAAAGCATTTAAAAACCTGTAAGTTAAAAAAAAAATCAGCATTTTCCAGACAACGTACTGTCATTTAAAAACCTGTAAGTTAAAAAAAAAAATCAGCATTTTCCAGACAACATACTGTTTAAAGGCCTGCCTGAAGAGGAAGGTCTTTGCCTGACAACAGAAGGACAAGAGGGAGTGGGCCAACCATCCTGGCTTCTCAGGGCAGTGCGTTCTGAAGCCTGGGAGCAGCCACTGAGAAGGCCCTCTCATGTCTTCTCTAGTTATTTCCATCAAAATATGGCAGTATGCTAACCGTGGTCTAAAAACGTACAGGTCAACTTCAGAATGCCATTTCTTAGGAGTTTAAACTTAAGTTTAGTGCCTTCCTTTTAGGACAAGTTCATTTCCTAACCACAGAAAACTATTATGCTTGGTATAAGCAGTTGTTTTCTGCTTTAATTATTTTAAGTGTGCCTCTCCCTTATCACCTCATCTCATCCCTGTGGTAATTACAGACCATATGAACCACAGATAGGCCACAAATGAAATCTTTAGTCCCTCTTGAGATTTGCTTACTTCTGTTCTGTCTACAGCCAATGTTACCATCTTCAAACCATCATCATTCTTCATCGTTGTACACACAAATTTTGGTCTCCAGTTAGAGATCCAGCTGGTACCTATCATGCAACTCTTTGTCCGCGTGGATCCATCCTACAAAGGGAAGACATGTGGTAAGTGAGTCAATGAGTTATTCCTGATACATAGAGGACATCTTCATTGTAATTATTTTTATTTCTATAAATCATGCCTTCTATGAAGGTTTAAAAATCTACCTGGTTTTGTCTTAGGTCTCTGTGGAAACTTCAATGATGCTCAGGCAGATGACTTCAAGGCTGTCAGTGGGGTGGTAGAAGGAACCTCAGCTGCTTTTGCCAATACGTGGAAAACACAGGCGGATTGCCCCAACATCAGAAACATATTTGAGAACCCATGCACTCTCAGCATAGAGAATGGTATGTAACATGAGGAAAATGTTTTGCTACTTCCCTCACAAAATCCCAGTATGAAAACCTTGGCAGTATCATCTTTATTATTGGCAAAGAAAGTAGAGACTCTGAATTATCGGTTCTTGCATGATTAAATTTTTCTTTCTCTAGGATTGATAGAGAACGTCGCTATGCGGGGTACCACTGTATTATATTATATTATAGTAAGATGCCCTCTTCCTTCCAGAAGTTCAAAGTAAGACACAAGGGTCAGAATCCTATTGAATAAACTTTATAGACAATGGTTAATTGTGTAAGTGCTCCCCTCCCCATTTGGCAGAGTGTCCATCATACAACTGGTCACACAAAGAATGTGAAATCAGTTATAACCTCATTTAGAGCAAGTGCCCAACCAGTCATATGACATTCTATACAGTAGGGAACACTTATTAAATAACATGTATTTCATCCACAGCTTTATCCTAAAGGATTCTGGTCAGGATTGTTTTCTCTCATTTTATCCTTCTAATCAAGTGGGTCATCTGCTGTGAGATCTATTGCACTGATAGATTGTGACGGGCTCAGGCTTGTACCCAACAGTGGCCACCTGCCAGTGGAAGTCAGCTTGTACAATGTTAGATGTCACTCTTTTGGCAGAGCAGGGATTTGAAGCAGATTTTACATTGGTCCAGTATTAAGAGCAAAAATTGTATATAAATGGCACAGTCCTTACAAAATAATTCCACATTATCTAGACAACAGGGAACAGAATAAATGCCAGAAGTAGCCCAAATCCTTGAACTAATGGGCCCTTGAACTAATGGAATTTGGTGATTCAACTCTTCCATAAGATCCAATAACTCAAATGGGCCTTCTCTAGCAGTGATTTATTTTAGTAAGTTACATTTAGAGTAGGCAAACTTGCATCAATGGAACTTACAGAGGACTTGATTAAATCTCTGTTGATTCAAAGGATCTACTCTAGTGCAATTTACTATAATAAAGCCGTAGTATTTTGGCCAGGGATTGATAGACTGTAGCTATGTCTACCTTTCAAAGCTGTTCTTGTGAATATGCATATATGCAGGCATTATTTAGGGGCAATTGAGTCTTCTTCAGAAATAGTTTGGCAGAACTAAACCTTGCACCTGTATTTTCCTAGACTTCTAGACTAGCACCCATACATGATTGTGATTTGGTTCCATTCCATTGGTTAGAGTCATTGCAAACTGTGCCCCTGATAAAATATTGCTGAAAAGAAATGAAGTAAAATCACACTTGTCTTCTTTATTTACAGAAAAATATGCTTCCCACTGGTGTGGGCAACTCACAGACAGCAAAGGACTCTTTCAGAAATGCCACTCTGTCGTTGATCCAGCTGTTTACCATACGGTACATTAAAGCCCTCCCCCCCTTTGAAATGCCAATAAGAGTAAATTCTACATAGGGAAAAATAAGTTAACAAACTGGTTATGACACTTTAATGATCTTGCCAAGCTTTTGCCAAGTTTCTGAAGTGTCATTAATACTCCTCATTAATCCCTATCCTTTGTAATCCAACATATGCATTTCTTGCTCCATTACTAAATATAAACATCTCATGTTTCTCTTCTGTACACTGGGCCCCATTGTTTGCCAAGTTATGGCAAACATGTGAACATGTCAAATGCTAGCTCAGAACATCTACCTTTGGCACTTCCCTGCAAATGTATAGAGTGAGTCTTACAGGTAAACACACCTGCCAACCTGCTAATGTCTTAAAGTACTAGGATACATGCACTAAAAAAAAACCCCCACCCAATAACCTCGCTGATTTGCAACAAATTTAGGACCTAGATTATGTGACAAAGGTGGTTAATGGACCAAGCAATGTGGCATTTCCCCCTAACATTTCAGGGCAGGTGCTCCACTGCTCAGTCCTTCAGTCACCACCCATTTTAATAGGTGCATAGCTACCACTAACTTGCATCTCCCTCATGCAGTGTTGTGGAAGTACCTGGCAAATGGACTGCATAACACAATTGCCCTAGTTAGTCATTTGAGAAAGGGTAACTGGAGAGGAGGTTTTAGCCCTGCCTGCTAAAATCGTTCACTGTTTCAATGGGGAGAAGTATTTTTGAAGAGGAAAGCCTCTATAACCTGTGCAATGTCTCCATATAATTGAGGATGCTGAATACCACAGCTGTCAATTGTATGGAGATGATCTATATGTAGTCAAGAGGCTACGTCCTTTTTGGACGGTCCTTCATATGGAGACGGGACGTGGTGGCGCTGCAGGTTAAATTGCAGAAGCCTCTGTGCTGCAGGGTCAGAAGACCAGGAGTCGTAAGGTCGAATCCACGCGACTGAGTGAGCTCCCATCGCTTGTCCCAGCTCCTGCCAACCTAGCAGTTTGAATGCATGCATATGTGAGTAGATAAATAGGGACCACCTCAGTGGGAAGGTAACGGCGTTCCGTGTCTAGTCGCGCTGGCCACGTGATCACGGAAGATTGTCTTCAGGCAAATGCTGGCTGTATGGCTTCAAGACGGGGATGAGCACCATGCCCCAGAGTCGGACACGACTGGACTAAATGTCAAGGGGAACCTTTACTTTTACCTCATATGGAGACAGTGACAGGAGAAGGGTGGGATTAGAACTCTCTCCTTGTTGATGCTTTCAAATTAGCCCTTTCTTAAATGTCTGAATAGGGCTGTTGTTGTTATATTCAGCATTAGACATCCCCTTTCAATGAATATAAGTGAAGAACTAAAGACTATGATGGCATCACCACAATTTTGTATTAGGAAATGTTACCGTGGAGGTATATAAGGGAGATACAGGCAGATGGCACCCACACATCTCCATAACCACACAAGTGTATATTAAAGGCACATTTCCACATTATTTGTTAATGTCAATGGATATTTATTCCTAGAACTGTATGTTTGACACCTGCAACTGTGAAAGGAGCGAAGACTGTATGTGTGCTGCTCTCTCTTCCTATGTCAAAGCATGTGCTGCCAAAGGAGTGATGCTGAGTGGATGGAGAACCAATGTCTGCAGTAAGTTTTATATTATTCAAGGAGACTTAAGATTAAACTGCAACTGGGAGTGTAACCAGACAGGCTTTTAGTCTGCTGTGTGGTCTGGTGAGGAGATAGGTCGGTTCACTCTTTTTTCCAGTGATTGCATGATGTAATCACTAAAGCGATCAAATTGTCCCTAGTGCATTCCTATGTTCGCTTTTCTGAACCCTTGCCAGAAACTTCTACTTTTTTGGTGCTGGTTGGATTGCTCCAGTTTAGCCCATTCCCTGCACATTTGATTCCAGGACATGGACCCAAAGTAAGCCTTCCGGCTGTCAAAGTTCCTTCCTATTGGAATTTCAGAAATCATGAAGTAGCTTAATAAATAAACCACTTCAGGATATCAGCAAATTGAATACTTTCTCAGTTCCTTGGCAGAGGGGCAGAGGAAGTGAACTGAAGACTGTAGTAGACCATCGCTGATGCACTGCAATGCCGTACTTTTTTCAAAATTTCATTGTCTAAAGGGCCAGTTGAGAAACTGTCCACAGTAGATTTGGCTACAGGCAATTTCTTGATTGAACCTTCAGACAAAGCAAAGAACATTTTAATGTATGTGTTTTTTAATTAAAAGTAATGTACTGTATCAGCAATGGTCTACTACGATCTTTTTTTAAAACAAAAATCACTTCCCCTGCTCCTCCACCAAGGAGCAAAGAAAGTATTCAATTGCCTGTATCCTGAAGTGGCTTGTTTATTAAGCCACTTCATAATATTGGAAAATCCGGTTGGAAGGATTAGGACCAAACAAGTTTGCTAGAGTTCCAATATGCCTTTAGGGTGTGAGGATCATGCCAAATGGTAACCAACCCCAAGTAACCCCATTTAGCCTGCACCATTGTCCAAAAGACACTCTGTAGAAAAAAATCTGATTATGAAAAAATTAATGCAGTTTTCAAAGTTTCTACACATGTAGCAAACATTTTTGGATATTTGTTGAACCTTGCCTAATCTAGTACTTTTTACTTACAGAGACCGTTGTCTCAATCTCTACAATAATTTGTTCTTCCCCTCCTCTCAAGGCAAATATCAAATATGTCCCAAAACCATGACTTACCGTTACATCATTGATTCCTGCCAACCTACCTGCCGATCTCTGAGTGAGCCTGATGTCACCTGCAACATTCAGTTTACACCTGTGGATGGGTGTACCTGTGAAGACGGGACCTACCTGGATGAAAATGGCAAATGTGTGCCTCAGACTAGTTGCCCTTGTTACTACAAAGGGTCTCCCATACCATCAGGGGAATCTGTTAGTGAAAATGGCATCATGTGGTAAGAGATTATTTGAAATAAGCAGTGTTATGAGGTGACAGAATCAATTAATGTCTGTTTGTAGGAATTCTTTGGAAATCAAGCATTGTAAAGAAGCATTATCTACAAAAGGGAGGGGGGGACAAAGAAGATTATTTGCCTATGCTTGTGAACTATCCTGTCACATTTCAGGGCTACTTCTTTCAGAGATCAAGTAGGCTAAGGCATCTTTGGCCCAGGTATTAATTTGGACAAATCTTATTTTTGTAAATAGGGATAATGACAAAATGAAGGTTCTACCCATTTATTTGGAAGTGCTGGCTAATAATAAAATGTTTTGTGCTTCAAAATATGTTTCTTAATGCTCAAAACTGTTTGATATTGAAGCTCACAGTGTTTGAGGAGGGTTGTTTGCAGGCTGTTTCTGAAAATGGGGTGGAAATTTTGGTTTCATCGTTTTATCAGCTTTGCTCACTTTTGCAATATGCCTAGAAAAGTGAAGTAATTAAATAGGAGTTGGATTGCAACAAATGGAGAGGAATCAAGTACATGATTCTGTTTCTACTGCCAAAAGAAAGTTTCTATGGAAATTCTGTCCATGCAAATGTTGAAGTTTCAAAAAATAGTAGCAAGAAAATCCATGTCCTTCAACATGGAAAAAACTTTTGCTTCACAGATTCATAGGACTAGCAGCAAAACAGCTGGACTGTAAAGGTTTGTAATCTACTGTTGTTCAAAAGCCTTCAGCTCAGGCCCATGGGAGACAGATTCTTTGGTAAAACCACCAAAGTGGTATTTTAAAAGAAAGCTCTTAGCTTTTGGGCACAAGGTGATCTTTTAGCATTCTGTGTTCTGCAGGGTTTGCTGTTATTGGTGCCTTTAGCTAGGAAAGATGAACTGCTTTTAATCTTAGTTTGGATTTTGAATTTAAGGAACATTTTTGCTCTTTTACAGTACTTGCACACAAGGAAAACTTCAATGCATTGGAGAAGTGAAACCGAAACCAGGTAAAAAAATCACTATTTTATTTCCCTTTTGTTTGATATCTTGGCCTTTGGCCTGTGGCATCCCTCAGGGTTTTGTTTTGTCCCCTGTGCTATTTAACACGTACATGAGACCACTGGGAGAGCTTGTCTCAAGTTTTGGAGTTCAGGGTGACACCCAACTCTCTCTCTCTTCTTGCCATCTAAATCTAAGAAGGCTGTTTTAGGTCTCAATCAGTATTTGGTGTGAATAATAGACTGAATGAGGGTGACTAAACTGAAAACCTCAACAAGATGGTGGTACTCCTGGTCAGTTGAAAGGCAGAGCAAGGAACAGGGATGCAGCCTGTGCTGGATGGGGTTGCCCTCTCTCTGAAAACACAGGTATCCAGGTTGGGTGTGCTGCTAGGATTTGTCTCTTAGCTTCAATGCCCAGGATTCAGCAGTGGCTTTGCATAGTTAAAACTAGTGTGCCAGCTTTGCCCATTCCTGGAGAGGACTGATCTGGCCACATTGAAACATGCCTTAGTGTACATCCCAACTGTATTCCTGTAACATGCATTACTTGGGGGAAATGCCTAGAAATTTCAGTGGGTCAAAAATGTGGCAGCGAGATTGCTAACTGGGACTGGTCATAGGGATCACATAACCTCACTGTAACAGCAGCTCCTCTGGCTGATGATCCCTTTCCGGGCACAATTCAAAGTGCTGGTTTTAACCTATGAAACCTTAAACAGCTTGGATTCAAACGATCTCAAGAACCGCATCCCCCTAAATGACGCAGCCTGGGCTTTAAGTTAATTAGGGGAGGCCTATCTTTCAGTCTTGCCACCTTCAGTGGTGCTTTTGGGGGGACATGACAGACGGCTTTCTCTGTGGCTCCTCTCATGCAGTAACCTCACTCCCACAGGAGGCCAGGCTGGCCCCATCTTTGCTGTCCTTCAACAAGCAGACAAAGACCTGTCTGTTCTGGCAGGTTTTCCTTTAGTGTCTGACCGTCTGAGAGGATTTTTTTTAATGGGTTGTTGTGCCTTCCTGCTTTTAAATGTGTTTTAATATTGATTTTATTTACCATTTTAATATAATATTTGTTTAACTCTTTTAAATATTTGTATACTTACTATTTTTAACTTTTAAATATTGTCTTTTTAATGATGTAAGCCACTTTGGTTCCTTAAGGAGAAAAGTAGAAAAAATATTTTCAATTAATTAATTAATGCATATTATTATTATAATTATTCCTTATTTTGATGTACATGATATGTCCATGGAAGCAATTCCGTTGCCATGGCACAGCTAAGGCACAGGTGTACTGAACATACATTTTCATCCACATTGTTCATTCAAGCATCACCAACTGAAATCCTGTTCTCTCAACTACACCATGTAAGAAGGTTGATGATGCTGTCAGCTGCAGAAGGTTTTTGCGAATTAAACATTTCTCTCTTCTGTCCTGAAGGTCCCCACTTTCTGCTGCATAATTATTTTCTTCATCAGAAAGCCTTGGGAGCTAAGGGACAGGAAGAAGTCTACAATTACTGAAAATTACCATTGCCAAAAAAATAATCATCCTTACACAATATAGCTGCATGAACACAGTTTCAGCCACTATCTGTTATTGATTTGTTTACGAGAGCTGTTAATCAAAGGCAAAAGAATGTTTTTCTTTCACCTGTATGTGTGGAGAATGTACCCCCCATTGCCACCTCCCATGCTTTTCCAAAAGGCCCCCATTCTCTGACATAGTTTCCTTGGAAACACAGGAGATTTCCATTGAAAAATTGTAATTTTTTAAAATTTCTTTAAGACATATGCCACCCACACTACCTGAAGGTCTCTGGGCAGCTTACAACATTTAAAATACAATAAAAAGGCAAAAATAATTAAAATGCAATTAAAATATATACGTACTCTAAAAATTCCCATTAGACCCACAGCTGATATTATTTCAATTAAAAGTCTTCTGGAACAGGAAGGTTTTGACCTGGCATCGAAATGTCATCAGCGTTGGCGCCAGACGAATCTCAGTCAGGAGGGCATTCCATAGTCTGGGGGCAGCTGCCAAAAAGGCCCTTTCTCCCTCTTATCTCCTTGGGAGACGGCTCTTTCAGAAGGGCCCCCTAGTTAGATCTTAACTGCTGGGTAGGTTCATATGGAAGGAGGCGGTACTTCAGGTATCCAGGGCCCAAGCCGTTTAGGGCTTTATATGTCAAAACACATGATTTTTATTGTGTTTTTATTATTTTATTATTGTCATAGCACATGATTTCCTCTATTCCTATCTTGCATTTTGTGTGTTTTGTTTTGTGACTGGTCACTGGAAGGTAAACTTGGGCTTAAACTGCTACTCTGATGACTGAAGCATATATCTCTGAAGAAATCCCATTTTTGGAACAAAAATAGGCCAATAGGAAGGCATACACATTCTTCTTAATGTCCAGCAGAATCCTACGGAATATTGTTTTGATTCAGCCAGATGGATAGCTCAGTGGCTTAGGCATCTGGCTGTGGAGCCAGAGGTTGGGACTTAGATTTCCCACTGTGCCTCCTTGTCAGGGGTTGTCAAGCTGAGAGATTTCATCAGATTCTACTTTCTTTCAGTGTGTGATGCTCCCATGATCTACGTTAACTGTGACAATACCACATTTGATATCACGGGAGCTGAGTGTCAGAAGAGCTGCCAGACACTTGACATGGATTGCGTAAGTGCAGAACCACAACTGTTCCTTACTTAACCAGATTGTTCAGCTTATGTATTAATGGCAACTATGATCATTTCTTAACTGCCTAACACTGCCTACAGCCACAAAGAACTAGGATGGTAGATGATGACAGACAATAATGAGTGCTAACTTACAGAACAAATATATTAACAGCCCATTGGGGCAGGGAATGGGGAATGAGGGGTGGTGAATGTTATAAATTTTGATTCAGACTGTTAAGTTTGTGGGAAGGTATCTCAGAAGATCCCTCAGTTGGCAGAGAAAACAGCAGTGCTGTTCTTGTGAGCTTTTAAATTCCCCTTATTGTCCCATTCACTGGAGCAATAAGCCAGGCAGAAGGTAAAGTTTAAACAAACTTTCAGAAAAACATTTAGAAGACCTTGTCTTAAGGCATCAGCACATGGGCCACAGGGGAGACATATGGCCCACCCTCAAGAAAGAGATGTCAGTATCCTGAGATTTAGAAAGGACTGCTACCCTGTTTCCCTGAAAATAAGACCTAACCTGAAAATAAGCCCTAGTATGATTTTTCAAGATGCTCATAATATAAGCCCTACCCCCCAAATAAGCCCCAGTTAAGTGAAACCCCATTCACAAAAGATTATTGTACATGAAAAAATTAAATATCCCCTGAAAATAAGCCCTAATGCATTTCTGGAGCAAAAATTAATATAAGACCCTGTCTTATTTTCAGGGAAACACAGTAGGTGGAGATACCCTGTCTCATTTTCAGGGAAACACAGTAGGTGGAGACAAGAAGCAGTGAATCTTTAACTTCAGAAGAGGCAATAGGATAGTGAGAGATAACCAATACTTACAACCTACACTTACTTCCAAAATGCCCCTTAGGAGGAAGGATGATCATTACTCAACATACTCTGATGTCCTGTTTATTTAGGTTTTCAAAAACATGGAAAATCACAATCTAGAGATTTACCAGAACATTATCAAGAACAGCTATGTAATGGAATTTCTCGGGGGAGGGGGGAATACACTTGAAACAATTTGGTATATAGTCAAAATGGCAGACTGAACTGGATCTCTGTGGTGATTCAGCTGTGGCAGCTGATCCTAATTTCAGTTCATCTTGAATCTGTTCAGTAGCTTAAAAACTTTGCTTGAGTCTCACTGATTTGTGAAATAACACCTTCTGTTCACCCTGTTTTGCTACAGTACAGCACACAGTGTGTCTCTGGTTGTGTGTGTCCTAACGAACTAGTATCTGATGGCAAAGGTGGATGTATAGCTGCTGAAGAATGCCCTTGTGTCCACAATGAAGCTACATACAGTCCAGGGGAAACCATCAAAGTGAAATGCAACAATTGGTACGTATAAGACGAATGGTTACAAGCTAAACTAGCCACATAGAATTCCTCCCTCTCCATAGCAAGAAGACATACTAAATCCAAATATGTTTCCATCTGTGCAGTACTTGTAAGAACAGAAGGTGGGAATGCACCGATGAACCTTGTCTGGAAACTTGCTCAGTTTATGGAGATGGCCATTATATCACCTTTGATGGCAAACGCTACACCTTCAACGGAGACTGTGAATACACATTGGCCCAGGTATTAAACCTTTCTCTCTATATTGTATAACTTAGCACGTTTGGTATTGAAATGGAAACTGTTTCTGAACACTAAATAATGCTCTTTTCCATAGGATCATTGTGGTAAAAACAGTTCAAATGAAGGATCCTTCAGGATTATCACAGAGAACATCCCTTGTGGTACCACCGGCACTACCTGCTCAAAAGCAATTAAGTTGTTCATGGGAGTAAGTAATAACACGAAAAGCAAACATAGAAAAATTACATGTGGCGTGTGATTGTGTTTTATTTATTTATTTAAATTGTTCTGTTTTTCAACAGAAAATCCCTCGGGTGAACACAGATTAGCTGGATTACAAAGGCAACCACCCTTTCCTATTCCAGGCTCCAAGTTATAACTAGTTCTGAGACACAGTGGTGGGTTAGAATGATGGTCAGGTTTCCAATATCAGCAGCAAACACACACACACACACACACATGCACGCACGCGTGCATGCACACACACACACACACACACACACACACATACAAGCAAACAAAGAAACTGTTCTTTTGTTGCTACTAATGGCAACACTGGTCATTGGAAGGAGTTCTTAGAAAATTTCTTGTCTCCAGTCTCTTTGCTCACAGATGGAGAATTTCAAGAGACTATTTCTGTCACAGCTCTAGTTAAAACACAGAGAACCCTGAAATAAGTTCTTTAAATATGAAACAGCCACCCTGCCATTTTCTTGGCAAATTGTTTTTGAATCTAGTCCAAATTTCACAAATGCTGTGATTTGCCATAGAGATTTGTTCTTCAGCAAAGAAAGTAGGTCAACCATTCAAGGGAGCTAATGCTAACCCTGGGTGTGAAGCAATGTTTTAGAACTCAGACAGGATCTTCTTGGAGAAAAGTTCCTGTACATCTTAGTAACACTTACTGACAGAGTAAGTTCTGTAAGCATCCTATGATATTCTAAATATTTAGTTAGGCAACACACAAGCAAAACAAAGAAACTGTTCTTTTGCTGCTACTAATGGCAAGACTAACCCTTGAGGAGTTCTTAGAAAACTTCTTGTCTCCGGTCTCTGCTCACAGATGGAGAATTTCAAGAGACTATTTCTGTCACAGCTCTAGTTAAAACACAGAGAACCCTGAAATAAGTTCTTTAAATATGAAACAGCCACCCTGCCATTTTCTTGGCAAATTGTTTTTGAATCTAGTCCAAATTTCACAAATGCTGTGATTTGCCATAGAGATTTGTTCTTCAGCAAAGAAAGTAGGTCAACCATTCAAGGGAGCTAATGCTAACCCTGGGTGTGAAGCAATATTTTAGAACTCAGACAAGATCTTCTTGGAGAGAAGTTCCTGTACATCTTAGTAACACTTACTGACAGAGTAAGTTGTGTAAGCATTCTACGATATTCTAAATATACTGTACATCATTATATTTGTAATAGTTTCATCCACAGATGTCAGGGTTTCCCATCTGTTGAGGTCCATTCCTAAGGCCTTCAGATCTCGCTTGCAGATATCCTTGTATCGCAGCTGTGGTCTCCCTCTGGGGCGATTTCCCTGCACTAATTCTCCATACAGGAGATCCTTTGGAATCCGACCATCAGCCATTCTCACGACGTGCCCAAGCCAACGTAGACGTCTCTGTTTCAGTATTTTTAATAGTTTCATCCGCTCATCCAGAATTTGCTGATAGCAGAAATGCCCTGTTGAAGAACTTCTGTGCAGCTAGTAGCTCTCATCTATCTGTCACTCTGCCTAATCTATCTACTGGTTGTTTAATTTCCTTATTTCAGAATTATGAATTAATACTTGCTGATGAAAAATTTGAAGTGATACAGAGGCTTCCAGGTGGAGGTGAAGTGCCATTCAAGATCCGATTCATGGGCATCTACATGGTGGTTGACACCGCATTTGGACTTGTTCTGTTGTGGGATAAGAAAACCAGTGTCTTCATCAAAATTAGCACAAACTTTAAGGTGAGCTCTGGATGACAAGGGACAAGAAAAACAGCATGAGGCCCACCCTTCATTTCTGAAGAATCCAGTCAAGGTTGTACTGAGATGTGTGTTGTCTTAGAAAAGAAGAAGCAGTACCTTGGAATTTGTGTAGCAAATTCTCAGAAGAAGCAAACTTTGAAAGCTAGCATTTTAACATTCCAAATGTTTCAGTTAACTGGTTTATCAAACAGATCTTGTGATTGCCTCACTTCACAGTCCATTTAACAAAGGCACTGAACAGGAAGAACAGTTGATAGCTCTAGTTCGAAATGTTGAAGACAGATATAAATGCAATTATTGCCATTGACATTATCTTGTTCTATAGAATCTTGTTCTAGCTAGCATTTTTATTGAGGAAGTAAATGTTGTTCTGCATGATCAGTGCAAAGAGCTGGTTATAACTGCTTTATTTTTATAGCAATAAATATACATTATAGTTAATGTCCAAAATTCAGAGAACATTCACCTTCACATGTCAACATCTATGCCTATTTTCTCACTGTTCTGACTAATTTAAGGGAATGGTAACAATCATGTTTTGCCTGGCCATGTTGCAAACCATGTGTTGACAAGACATCAAACAGGCCTAGCTTCTCCTTGCTTTTGCTTTTGCCTGACTGAGAGGATGTTCATCCTCCATTTATGGCTAATTACAGTTTGACACATTATCAAAACTGATAAACTATGATTATCATTAGACTGACTTTTGAAGCTGGCTTGTTCAAACTAAACATAATTACATTGAATAATACTTTTGGATGTGGACAACCTAACAAAATATGATTAACCAGAAATGCATGTCATAACTGCCAAAATCCATGGCAATGTGAAAACAAAATAGTGGCAGGCAGAAGCATCTTTATTTTTTTAAAAGCAATAAAGGAATCTAAAGTTCATTCAAGGATCAAAGTGTGAAGCTAATAGGTTTTTTTTAATGGGTGTGTAAGTTATATAAAGATCACCTAATTCCACAGAGCAAAACCACTTTTTCCACTTTGTTTTCATTTGTTATATAATGGCAAGCAAACTGCAGCTGTTTGTGAGAAAACTGGCATAGTTACACAGAGCAATGGTCAAAGGATAAAATAAAGAGCAGTATGAGAGAAGTGGAACTTAATGTCTTTCAAAATGTTTGTCTAATCCTTGGGCAAAGGGAATAGCCATGCTCAAGTTGCATGTGTTAGATGTGCAGGCAGAGCTCTGAAATATCCGGGCTTCTCCATTTATCTCAAAGGAGACAGCAAATCCAGCTGGTGAAAGTTTGACATACCATCAGTTTTCCTCTATGCAAATGAGTTGAACCAGGCTTTGTGTGCGCAACACCTATTGGGGACTAAACCAGAGGGTGCACAACTATACTGTAGTTAGGCCTGAGCTAAAACTGGCCACAATTTTTGTTGACTGCAGCTTACATACTTTTGGAATTGCATCCAGAAAGGACCTGCATGGTAGACAGTTCACCTGCTGGCTAGTTCCCCATCTCAGCCTCCATAGTGGTGAAATAATGATAGTTGCAGGTGTCTTCAACACATCACAATGTGAATAATTAAAGGAGTGCCTGTCCCTTTGCCACGGTATGTGGCAGTGAACCAGGGTGGAATTTTGAAGCTCCACTCCCCCCCCCCAAAAAGGACTACTATCACCACTGCTTACTCTGAAAGAGATCTGTCCCCACTTCCTATAATGAAGAAGTCGTGAAAAAGGTGACAAAATAAATCAAGTCTATAGACAACAGGGCCGATCCTGGCCCAAGGTAAAATTCCTTCCTAACCCCATGAACTAAGAGCTAGCCTTCTCCCATAGCGTCATGAATTATTGAGGACTGGGAAGGTAAGTTAGTGGTGACAAATGGCCTGGGCCACATATGGAACTCATATGGACCAGAAAGAAGGGGTTTCCTCATTCTGCCCCAGGAACCAACGGCACTGCCAGTTGGAGCCCAGGGTCTATCACGGCTACACCACATTTTCCTGTGAGAGAGGATGCTGGCCAGGTCCCTTTTATTGTGGTGTAAAAGTGCCCTGGCCTTTTGTGAATGGGGATGATTCCAAACTTGTAAAGAATGCTGATGTCTAAAAAAGAACATACACTTCAGTTTTGAACATGCATTGTCTGTAATCTCAGAGAAACAAATGCCCTCCTTCTCACTCATTTGCTCTTGTCTCTGTGCAGGGTAAAGTATGCGGTCTCTGCGGAAATTATGATGGCAATGACCTTAATGACTTCACCACTAGGAGTCAGTCTGTAGTAGGAGATGTGCTGGAGTTCGGTAACAGCTGGAAGGTGTCTCCTACGTGCCCATCTAGTCCAAGCCCAAAGGATCCTTGTACAAGAAACCCATATAGGAGTTCCTGGGCCCAGAAGCAATGCAGTATCATTAACAGCCGGACATTCGCTTCCTGCCACTCTCTGGTATGGACACATTCTCTGTTGTTAGGTCATGTCAGTAGTATTTTCCAGTGGTGATTTTATGTATCACTGAAACAATTCCAACCATTAATTTGTAAAAAAAGAAAGTCACAAGTACATCCAGAGTCAGTTGGTTTCCCCATACAGTAAAATTCGAATATTAACACACTTAATAAATAACCAGTGTGTGTCTCGTGGGGGTGCCAGCTGATCACAATTTTTCCTTTTGTGAATGTGTAAAATATCCACATTGCTTCCTCGATGAGTTCCTTCCCATCTTTTTCACATCTGATGGACATTCTGAAAGGATCCTGCTCTTTACTATCAGAGCAACTTATGTTTGGGTGGAATTCTGTTACTGTGGCAAACAATGTGATGTGAAAAGAAGAACAGAGACTCGGTCACAGATTCTCCATGTTGAGTTTGCCAGAGAAAAGAGAATGGGAAAGAAATGCCCACCCTTCTTTGATGATAGCCCACCAAGACACAAACAGAAATTAAACTGGGCTCCTAATTTCCTTACAGGTTGAACCCACCAAGTATTATGAAGACTGTGTGTCTGATTCTTGTGCTTGTGACACTGGGGGAGACTGTGAGTGCTTCTGTACAGCTGTTGCTGCCTACGCTAAGGCATGCAGTGAGGCTGGCACCTGCATTTCCTGGAGATCTCCATCCATCTGCCGTGAGTATATCTGCTACATTTTTGAATCAGAATAAAGGCGTGTGCCAAAATGCATTGAGGATTTTTGAATCAGAAAAAGAGATAGTTTACATTTTTCTACATCCTGCAACCTAGTCTTTTATTCTGATTTCTGATGCCATTGGATATCAGTTCCTTGTGTTTCTGCCCTGGCAGATCTTGAAATGCTGACTGGGGAATTCTTGGAGCTAAGCCAAAAAGTAACTTTACCAAGCTCTGGTTCTTGGAATATGCTAAAACTCAAGACCAGTTCTTTGGAACTGCTGGATAGCTAAGAGGTTTAAGCATCTGGCTGCAGAACTGGAGGTTGGGAGTTCAATTCCCCACCGTGCCTCTTTGGCAGGGGATGGACTCGATGAACCATAGGGTCCCTTCCAACTCTGCAGTTCTCAGATTATTATTGTTTATCATTATATTTCAATGCTCCTATGAGTCTTCCTCTCTCTCATGTCTCCATCTCACACTATTTGGCAAAATATAAAACGATGTTGTTTGAAAGTTGATTCTCCACTCCTGAGATATTAGGAATTTTTGAAGCACCTCTTTTGAGGAAATGTTTGTCTTCACCAACAATTTTAAATATGTTCAGTCCTTTTATGAGTTAAGGCTCATATTGGCAAGATTTCAGCCAGTGCCTGTTGTTTCAAATCCTGCCATTTCATTCAGTGTATAACTGAAAGTCAGATGACATACAGTGCAATCCTAAACAATTGCTGAAATGTACCAGAAAGCTCACTAAAGCAAGCCCACTCTACACAGAGGTTGACTCACCAAATTCACACTGGTTTAATGACCTTACTCTGGCTATGACTTGTTATTGGATCTCAGCAAGTGTGCTGCGAAGTAAGTCCCATCTTAATTGGATAAAATTATCAAACTAAGAATGAAAACTTTAGTATTCATTCCATGAAGGAACAGTGAAATGACAGAAGGCCAGCACTGCTTAAGGATAGATCTTGACTTGGTATTATTTTCTCTCCTTTCAGCTCTGTTTTGTGATTACTACAACCCAAAAGAGGAGTGTGAGTGGCACTATCAACCATGTGGTCCTTCTTGTCTGAAGACTTGCAGAAATCCATATAAAAAATGTTCGCATGATCTACAGGGCTTGGAAGGTACAAGGATTATGGACTTTACCCTTAATTTACAACCAATCATTGTCAGAAACTAAAAATCCTACTATTCTTTAGCATTTGGTCTATTCACTGTGATTTCACAAAGTTAGAAATTTGACCTCAAGGGAACAAAGATAACTCAAGGAGCTTTGTGACAACTATTGACAGTTGAAGACGAGTGAAGCTGCTTGAACTTTCTTCATCCCAAGTATTGCTGAAATTGGGGTATAAACAGTAATAACGAGAAAAGAGCGCCATCTTGCAGGAGGATTCAAAGTCTGTTTATGGATTAAGGGTTTTTTAAGTACATCAGTTGTATAATAAGTAGAATGTTTCATTTTCTGGAAACTGATAAGTTCAGTAATCACATTACTAAGACTAAGGATTAGTACATGTGCCACGTATAATTTGGCACACGCATAACATCAGCTTAGAGATTTCTCCTACCTTGAATTGATATTCTCAAACAAAAAGAACTACATTTATCTAGCGTTTATATAATGTTTATGATACAGGAATTGCCTTCTCGAATCTTATGTTCTTTCCACTATTTTTAATGTCTCACGCAAAAGAGAAAACAAAAGTATATCTCGTACTCTCAACACTTTTACTGTATATTGCCAGTCAACATTTTCACCAAATTATTTCTAACAACACAGCAGTTTAGCAACTAAGACAGGGAAAAGCATACTGATGTCATATTATGTTGACTAACCTGGTTTTAGCAGTAGATTCTTTTGTGAGTTTTTTTAATATCAAAGAGTAGATTTGAAGTTATTCTGGTTAGTTGGGCATTGTACACTATAAGTACCTGTTTAGGAATATGGAAAGGAGTAGTGTGTGACAAGATGCTCAACTTCAGAAGAGTAAAAATGAGAAATATTTCAAAATTTCTCGTTAGGAAGGAAAACTAAGATATATTTATTGCAGTGTGTTCTTATGATCAATGTATGCTTTAGAACTGTGAGTTTCATTTGTTATGGAAGCAAGCAGACAGATTAATGTCTAAAAGAAATCAGAACAACAAAGTGTTGGATAACTCAGTAGTTTAGGTATTGGCTGCGGAGCCGAAGGTTGGGAGTTCAATTTCCTACTATGCCTCCTTGTTGTGGGCTCAACTTGACGATCCATAGGGCTGTTTCCAGCTCTGTAGTTCTAGGATGATGATGATTTAAACCATCTTAACCTCTGATCTCGGTACAAAGTACTGTAAAGGATTAAGTATCATTACTTAGACCTAGCGTTGTTTCTTTCTGCAGGCTGCTACCCGAAATGTCCAGATGATAAACCCTATTTGGACGAAGATGACATGGAATGTGTTGCTCTTGACCAGTGTGGCTGCTTTGATAGCAAAGGACAGCATTACAAGCCAGGAGCAAAGATGGATTTTAAAAAGAAGTGTGAATCATGGTAATGCTTGTTTTTAAAATACGAATTTATTTATTTCTGTATTTAGTTTTGTTATACTACCATCCCTAATTTTCTCCACTGAGTTCAAATCAGTATGTAGTGCCGAGCTCTCCTCCTCCACCCCCCCCATTTTATTTGCACAGCAAAGACTGGCTCAGGATCACCTACTCAGTTCCATGGCCAAGTGGGTATCTGAATCTAGATCTCCCTTGTCCTAATCCAACACACTGCAATCCCCTACACAAGATTAAAAATGGTGATAGAAATGTGACATAAATTAGCATTCGCTTCCATAAGGAGGTAATTAGAAAGTGGTGGTTTAAACTCTTCTGTGAAGATGAATTTCTAGAAGTACAGTAGGGTAGAGGTTCCAGTCCTTTCGCTAGCCATCCTAACTCCAATGTTCACCTCTCTCTCTTCTGGTAAACTGATGATATCGGTTGTTCACTGTCATTTCTCTTTTTCTGTGAAAGTATACATTATGGTGTGTCCTTTTTGTGTATCTGAGAGGCAGGTTGAGATAGATTGAGCATGTGGTTTAGCTGTAAAAATTAATGATAAATCAGCTTTGGGAACAGACCTATGGAAATCAAATGGACAAGTTTAATTAAGCCTATTAACACCAATATGCTGGAGTGAAGCTATACATTCACTTGGGGCTACGTGCTATATTGGGGTCCTTCCAATATATTATTCAATCAATAAAAGCATCTATTGGCAGGAGAACAATTTTGGATAGAGCCTGTGGTGCCAGGTGAGAAAAATCTGTTATTTCCTCCTTGGCCTGCATCATCAGCCTGCACCCTTAAGCCATTTGGAGCTGCTAACAATGTAAGGCCACAGGTTCCCTCCCCAGAAGTAACAGCAACTTGGAGGGCTGCAGCAGAGGAATAAAAATTACAGTTGTCAAATGTGCTTTGCAAGGACTACAATCACATTTTAAAAAAGAAAATTCACTTTAAATCTTGCAATTCAACCAAGAGAAATAATGCATACATTTTAAACCCTGGTGCAGAGGTCTGGTGTTGAGGGGGGGGATGGTTTTTTTGTAAGTGAATGAGAGAAACTTTGTATCCTATTTAAAAAGAGTATCGCCTCTCTTGGGGCTTTTGAAGAGTTTCTGAAATCTAAAGAGAGAAATCCTATACATACTTTTAAAGCAACACACAAGAAAAATATCAAAATGGAGCACATTTCATGTTTGTTAAAAGTAAGCCCAGAACAAAAATTGGAAGAGCATTATGAAGTGTGAAGAAAATGTAATCTAATTTGCCTTGAAGCGTACTTTCCCCTGGAGAATCTGAGGGTACCTTTCTGTGCTGTATGCCTTGAACTGCATCTACATTATCTAATGGGTGTGCATTAGACAAGCGGCATTCTTGCTGCCTTCTGTGGTTCCTAAAAATGTTAACCACCTTCAAATGTGTGTTTGTGCTTCCTTACAGCTATTGTTCAATGGACAGCAAAGAGGTCTGTGAATACGATGAAAAGGGTATGTTGAAACTGCAAGTTTCTATACTTGATATGGGATGAGTTGGAACAACCTCTTCCATTTTAGAAGCATAACCCTGACATTCTCTTTTGAATCACAGCATGCTACTGCACCTATGACGGGCAAATATACCAGCCTGGGGATACCATTTACAACACAACAGATGGTATTGGAGGATGTATTTCTGCAACCTGTGATAAGAATGGAACAATAGAGAGGAACATCTTTCCTTGCCAAACATCTACTCCTGCCGCCACCACTGCCACTCCCACCGCCACTACAGTATTTGTATTTTCATCAACCACCTCACCAGCAACCACTACTCCAGGTACAAATCCTCATGTCTCTGTTGTCACATGCTTTTTTCCCAATTAAATGAAATTCATCTCCAAACCAGGAACATGATGTTGACTACAGTGCAAGAGAACTGGAAAAAAAACTATTATGTCTTACCTTCCTTTGTAAATTTCTAATATATAGGTAGTACAAAGACTCTTGCAGAGTGCAGGCAACATACAAGTCAAATAAATAAATAAATAAATAAATAAATAAATAAATAAATAAATAAAATACTATCTAATGTCACAAGAGGCAGAAAAAACTGTGTATTGCTTCACTACAGGATTTCAATTGTCTTCAGCAATCTAAGTTCCTTTGAAAGAATCAAAGACACTGAATGTAGATGAAGGGGTTGACAATTCCATTCAGAAATCTTCAACCTTCCTCACAGAACAACATTTCTCAGGGATACCTGAAAAAAAGAGAGCAACATTAAACCAATTTCAGTCTGTTATTTAGATATGACTATAGGGCTGTACTACCAAATTGAAAAGTGGCCATCCCAAAGGAGCTATAGGGAAAACCATGGCCTGTCTCAGCAGTAGCCTCTGAAGTTAGATGCTTGACTTGAATAAAAATAAAATATAATCAGGAACCCAGATTGTACTGATTTATGTTTTTCTTCCTCCATCTACAGTGCCTTCAGCTACTTCCCAGTGCGTTCAGGAAGCTTGCCGGTGGTCACAGTGGTATGATGGGAGTCAGCCAGGTTCTGGAAATGATGAAGGAGATTTTGACACCTTGGATAATCTGAGAACTAAAGGATATAAAATCTGCAAAACTCCAAAAGCTATTCAATGCAGAGCAGAAAAATTTCCCAGTACACCATTGAGTGAACTAGGCCAAAAAGTGGAATGCGATAAAACAGTGGGACTGATCTGTTACAACAAAGACCAGCCTTCAATGAGCTGCTATAATTATCAAATCAGAATCCTGTGTTGTAGCTTTGTACCATGTGGTTATATTCCTCCATCCTCACCTGAAATTACTACAGTCCCTTCAACTCCTAAAACAACCACAACACCAACTACCACATTGGCTACTACAATTATTTCTACAACTCCAGTTACAGAAACCACGAGAATCTCAACTACACTCCCAACAACAGTGACTACATCCACTGGGACTGTGAAATCTACCACAGAAACTGTTCCTCCTACTACAGAAGTAACCAGTCCAACTCAGTGTAAACCCATATGTAAATGGACAGAATGGTATGATGTGTCTTTTCCTACATTGGACAATAAAGGGGATATTGAAACATATGACATTATTAAAGCTGCAGGAAAAGGTATCTGTAAAAAACCTGAACGTATAGAATGCAGGGCAGAGAAATTCCCTGAGAAGAAAATTGATGAAATTGATCAAATAGTCCAGTGCAATGTGTCACTTGGCCTTATTTGCAGAAATGAAGATCAGACAGGAATACTGCAAGTGTGCTACAACTATCAAATCAAAGTCTACTGCTGTGATACAGTTTGCTTGACCACTACTCCAGAAACTACAGTTGCAGACACAACAGTTTCAGCAACATCTTTACCCGTTACAACTTCAACAACTACTTCAGTAGTTACAACTAAACCAACTACACCGAGCACTTCATCCATTCCAGAAACCACAACACTTACAACAACTATTCCTAGTACTAAATTAACATCTACTACTGCTATACACACAACTTCTACCACAACTCCAGAAGCTACAACAGAAACAACCAAACCTTCTACCACTCAATTTACAACCTCACCCACAACTAAGATAACAACTCCACAGATTACAACGGTTACAAGTGCAATACCAACAACTTCTGAAACAACAGTTCTAACCACAACATCATCTCCAGTTTCAACACATCTACCAACAACAGAATCAACAACAATTGTGCCAACAACAACAAAACGAACAGAAAGTACAACACCTTCAACAACACTTCCCTCTACAAGTGAAGCATGTACCGAAGAAGTCTGTGAATGGTCCCAGTGGTATGATATTAGTTATCCAGGATCTGCACCTGATGATGGAGACTTTGATACATTTAAAAATATAAGAGCCAAAGGATACAAAGTTTGTCAGACACCAAAGAATGTTGAATGCAGAGCAGAAAGATACCCTAATACACCACTAGCAGAATTAGAGCAAAAAGTCATATGTAGTAAAACAGAAGGATTAATATGTTATAACAAAGACCAACTTCCACCAATTTGTTACAATTATGAGATCAGAATTGAATGCTGCAAACAAATTGTAGTACCATGTTCAACCAGCACAAAAGTAACACCAACACATCCAACTTCAACCTCAAAAATAACTAGTACAATTATTACAACAACAAAGGCAACAACACTTCCAGAGACTACCACAACGACATTAGCAACTCCCACTACACCAAGATCAATTGTGACACAAATTCGAACAACTCAAGAGCCATCTACCGCAAAACAAGTAGAGTCAACAACAACCATTGCAACAAAGCCTCCAGAAACAACTGTCACTGAGAAAACAACTCCACCAATGACCACTAAAATCTCAACAACTAGTACAGCACCAACACGAACAACCAAACTAGTGACGACTACAATACCTGAAACTAGCACAACAAAGCCAATTGCTAAAACCACTACCACAAGACAAACAAAGGAACTCACAACTGAAACTAGGATCACAACAACTTCCAGACCAAAAACAAGTCTGTCCACTACTACATCTCCGCCAATTACAACACAAAAGATAACTACGTTGCAAACATCAACATGTGCACCAGTCACCTGCCAGTGGTCCCAGTGGTTTGACATTGACTACCCTACCACTGGACCAAAAGGAGGAGACATTGAAACGTACAATAACATCCGGACAGCAGGAGGCAAAATCTGTTCCAAACCATTAGACATCCAGTGCAGAGCTGAAAATTATCCAGATCTAAGCATTAAGGAAGTGGGACAGGTTGTTGAGTGTGATGTTAATTTTGGACTGATATGCAACAATGCAGATCAAACAGGGAAATCTAAGCAGTGCTTGAACTATGAGATCAGGGTATGGTGTTGTAAAGAGAATCCAGAATGCAGAACTACTCCTGCCCCACCTCTCCCCACCAACACCACCACCACCACCACTGCTGCTACTCTTACTACACCGACTACACCAGTCCCAACCACTTCCACCACAGTGGAAACCAAGCCAGTGACAACAACAGCAGAATCCACCACGACAAAGACAACAACTGCCACCACCACGGGTACTACCACCCGAGAGAGTAGGGCCGCCACAACATCTACTACCATCAGTACCTCAACTCCAAGACTGAGCACAACACCTTTACCCACTACTACCC